TAAGTGTAAGGAACAAGGACCTGTCATCTGGGCTAATTTGACCTTTTCCTAATTTTAAGCTTAAACGTTTTTAGGGAGCTCTCATAAAGAAGTAGTGTGGCCTAATTTCCTAAGGCAAAGTGGAAACTGTGGGAAGAAGTATTTGATGCTTCTTCCTAATTTCCTAGTTCATCTAGTACCTGACCAGTCATTTAGTCATATTTTCTCTTTCTCCCCCATTTCATCTTTTGCATATTTATTTCCCCTTCACCCCACACTGATTTTTGGGGAAAAATAATTAAGCTAAGTCTTTTTCACATATCTCAGTTTAATAAAAATTGGTTTCTTTGCTTACTTCATACTGGCTTTTAATTAATTAGTTTATTACTAATGTCCAAAAGGTTTTGACTAAATGGAATGATCTTTAGTTTTCTGGAGGTATCCCTGTTTATGGAAATGTAGCTTTTTAACGAGGTACTACTTAGCCACTTCCTTAAATAGGAATTGGAAATTACTTTTCTGATTTTATGGCATTGTTGACTTGACATTCTTCAGAGGGTCTTGGGGCACTGGGATCCAGAAGCCTAGGCCTGCCGTAGGTGATAGTGGTCCTCCCCCATCCCTCCTATCATGTTCCGAGTGTCTTTTCTGCTTACTTGCACTTCAAGACTTGTATTTTGGATTGTCTTTCCTGTACTTGTCCATGGACACTCCTAACCCTCAGAGTAATACATTCAGTTTATATTTTTGTCACCTATAAAGCGAAGTTAGACCAGCAGTAGATGACTTCCAAGGCCCCTCCAGGATGTGTAAGGTGTATGACTGGGTTTTTACCCATGACTGTGGCCTGCATCTCTTTAGGCTGGTTGCTCTGCATGTTATATAATGGTTGTAAATAATTTTAGTAGAGCAGAGTCAGGTCCCTGCCCTGGGAGCTTATACACCTAGCTGTGTTGTGGTGCCTCCTGTGGATATCACCGGATCCAAATCAGATTCAGCGCTGGGGCTGCATTCAAGGGTTGGTATAAGAAACAGCTCTTCGAAGACTACCCTAAAAACTGATGGGAAAACAAATCCCATATGTTGGTGACATTCCTAATGAGATGACCCATGTGATGTCATTCTTGCAGGACTGAGAAAATCCCAGTACCAATACAGGCTGCCTTTTTTCATATAATGAAAGCCGATAGTGTATAGTGTTTTCTTTTTTTAACCTTAACTGCTAAAGCTAAGTTGTATGTTCAGTTACAGGAGCCTTTTATTCCTGTTTTAATGGCATTGAGGTTTTATTGTATGGGTGTCCAGAATTTCAAATTTCTTTAAAAATTACCAAAAATTAAAAATAAATGTCCAGTTCTGTATTTCAGCTGATAAACAGCTGCTATGTCTGTTGCTGACAGCTGCCGAGCAGCTTGTTGTATTTTCACTGTTAACTGAAAGTGTCATTCACATGAAGTTCACAGTCATAAACTAAATAGGTTTGTGACTTAATCCTGGTGGTACAGTCCTTATTGAAATAAAAACAGAGAACTTCGAAGACATTAATCTATGGTTTTTAAGTAGAAACGCTGACCTTCGTAGTTCTGCATTGGTGTATAACTCTACAGGAGGATTCTTCTGCTGGATTTATTACATGTACGTTCATTGAGGGGCAGCGTGTACCAAGCCTGTGCTGAGCAGTGGGCAAGATGATGAAAATTTCTGCCCTAATGGAGCTGATCTTATAGTGGGAGAAACAGATCTAAACAGAATGAACATTTAGTACATGCAGTGAGTTAGACGGTAGTGCTTTATGATAAAGCAGGAGAGGAGATCAGGGAAGTAGCTGCTGGTGGTGGGCAGTAGATGGTGGAGGGACAGGCAAGTGTCAGTGTAAGGGCCTTGAACTGGGTATGTGCCTGCTTTCATGCGGAGACCTCCTTGGTTGGAGCACTGAGAGGTGCTGGCTAATGAGCAGCTGACTTCAGAGTGCTGGTTAAGCCATTTTGAGTAAGCATGAAGTCTTCGGTGGGCTTTGAACAGTCTGACACATGTTATGACATAATCTGGGTAGTTTTTAAACCAGATATTGGGAATAATTGTGCGGTAAAGGCAGAGCGGGGAGGCCCCGGTGGAGGCCAGTGCACGACTCCAGATATGTGCAGTATGTGTATCATGGGAGAATTTGCCTACAGGTGAGATGTGTGAGAGGGAAACCAAGCAGGGCTGAAGGTTTGGCCTGAGCAACTGGGTGTTGCCATAAAGTGAGATGGAAAGTCTGGGAGGAACAGGTTGGTTGTCGGGTGGATATTGGGTTAAGTTCAACACATTACAGTTGGGACTAGACACCGGGGGTGCTGGCCATCAGTTTGTTTGCTCCGTGAATCTGGAGTTCATGTGCGAGGTCTGAGTCGAAGAGTGAATCTGTTTGCCATCAGCACGTAGATGGTAGTTTAGGATGATTGACAGGAGGCCCAGCACAGAGCCCTGGGCACTCCATGTCAGAGTGGTGATGAGAACCTACAGAGAACCTGTGCAGGGCAAGACTAGGAGAATGGACCCAGGAGAGAGGCTGGCTGTGGAGGAGGTGGGAGTGAACCCTGGGCAGGTCCTTCAGTGAGCAGGGCAGGCATGCGGGGAGACCTGAATCAGAGCAGTTCGGTGGGTGGAAAAGCCAGAATCTGGGCCGACTGTAGAATGTGAGGGGAAGAAATGGAGACAGCATATACAGGCAACTCTGGAGAGTTCTGCTCTGAAGGAGAGCAGAGGGATGGAGATGGAGGGAGGTTGGGGAAATAGCAGTGTGATGTATACTGGGAATGACCCTTTGGCAGATGTTGAGAGACTGAGAGAGAGCTGTTCAAGTACAAAGCCCCTGCCGCGGAGGAGGGGAGGGCATGCCTGTGGACAGGACCGAGGCCAGGTGGTACCTATAGCAGCCACAGAAAGGGAGGCCAAGTTCAAGGGAACTGATGGGGAAGAGAAAGCAAGATCTCCAGCTCACCAAGGGAAGGAGGAGCTGGGATTTGGACGGGACGGGAGAAAGTATGACATAGTGAGTGGTTCAGGAGAATGGAAACGTTCACAGTGCAGGGAAGGAAAGACAAATGATTCCTACAGAAGAATTCCAAATAATTTTTGTAGTGACTGTGTGCACAAGAAGATAGAGGAAAAGTCGGGAAGGAGGAGCTGGGATTTGGACGGGACGGGAGAAAGTATGACATAGTGAGTGGTTCAGGAGAATGGAAACGTTCACAGAGCAGGGAAGGGCTGTGCAGTGGCTGCAGCCTTGGGCACATCTGCACAAGTGGTCATGGCTGTGTGGATGCACATGTTGTAGGCTGTACACTTATGTTTTAGAAAAACAATTTCACAAGTGATAAGTAATACCGGCTTATAGAAAACTTAATCTAGAAAGATCGAGGATGAAGGTCAGTTTGTGTTGTCTGTATTCCTTCTCTCACGGGTAAGCTCAAGTTTAGTATGTGTCATTCCAGATCATCTGTTGTGCATTTACACACACACAGATATGTGACTACATATACATGCAACTTTTAGAAAACCGGGATCATATACATACTGCAATTTTCCTTCTTTTTTTCTGATAGTATTATATTCTGGAGATCTTCCATTGTGGTTCATGTAATTAAACCAGTCTCACTCACATTGATGTCTGCAGCATTACAGTAGGAAATAAAACATTTACCATTCCCCTAAGAAGGAGCACTTAGTTTATTGATTTGGTTGGTGGGCTCTTTTTTCATGTGCTCCCTAGGAGATGCTCTCTTCACAAGCTTACTATAAGGGTTCTAACTAGTCATTGCCATTAGAGACATTATTGAACATTGATCTCAGTCCAGTTGCTTTATTATATTAACACTGGATTATCTCCAGGACTTCTGAGAAATGACAAATTTAATTTGCCAAAATGGCAACCGCATGTATCACTCTGTTCCAGTTTTCTTGGGCTTGTTGCCCTAGTTTTTTCTATTCAAACCTTCACTGTTAACAGAATTTTAAATGATTCTTTATCCTGGCAACAGAATCATTTTTAGTAAACAACTTGGATAATGTATGGTGTCCTCATGTGGAAGAGGTTAGGGATTTTATGGTGAGTTTGGAGTATTTTCTTAAGCCACTCCCAGAACTTTAGAAATCAGGAAAAAGCTTTAATCGGCTCCTTGGAAACTTTCCACTAGCTCTTTATGAGACACGTGTTTAACCTGGAAGCTGCGGGCCATCATGAATGGGCTTCAGGGTATATCACTTAGATTAAGCTTGGCCGCATGTGACAAATTCCAGAATATGTTGTTTTAAAGCAAGTGGTTGGTTATTTCCCTTTCTTATGAGGAAGTCTGGGGCAGGCAGGCCAGGGACGTGTGGCAGCTCCGTAGATGTGAGGGCCCCAGGCTACTTCCTTGTCATTCTTTGCTCCGCTCTTCTAGCTCCTGTCCCATTCTCATCCTTGGAGTCCAGCAGCAGGAGGACAAGGAGGACAAGAAGGAAGGCCACGGCCGCGTGCCAGCTCTCCTTTTACGAGGTGTCCTCGGCTGCTGTGCACCACATCTGAGTTCATGTCCCGTTGGCTGGCACTCGGTCAGGTCGCCACGACATATTGCAGGAGAAGCAGGGGTCTTCCTCTGGTGGCTGCATTCCCCTATAAATTAGGGCTCTTACACTGGTGTTGCTGAAGCCTGTGAAAATTGGCAGAATTTTGTCTGTCCTGTCTGTGCTCTTTTCCTGGGAAAATGCCTATCATTTTTTAAATTAGATTCTGAAGGCAGTCTGTGACTCTAAAATGTTTTAAATCTATCAAGTCAAAAAGATCAGTTGGGTGGTATTCTATAACTGAGAACTACCACCTTCATTAAGAAATTGAGTGTGTCCCTTTAATAATCTGCTTTGGTTCTTAATTTGGAAAAAAGAAGACTGTTTATGGCATGAATAGCTTGGATCTTCAAACTGATCACCAGTTAATCTGTACTTGGAGGTCTTCAGAGGATACAGATTTAGCACGACACCTTATTTCCTTATCCTGACAGGTTCTCCTGAATCAGTTCATGTGGGTTCTGCTTGCCTCTGAATCCTGGAGCAGTTGCTGAGGATGAAGGTTGAAGAAACTCCCAGTATTCAGCACAGGCACCAAGTTCAGAGAATATTACTGGATATAACTGAGGTTGGAATTGAGAATTTCCTGCACAGTTTACACCTAAATATTTAGTTGTCTGACCATTTTTAAAAAGTGTTTATTTTTGAAAAGGTGATAAATAAACATGCTAAAAATGCAAATATTATAAAAGAGCGAAAGGTGAAAAATAATTTCCTTTTCACTTCTTATGTCCCAGGGATATTCTGTGCATATCTAGCATATTTCTTTTTTTAAAACACGTTGCATAAATTCTGCCCTATTTATATTCATGTAATACTGTATCTTGGGAGTCGTCCTTAGAGAGATCTGCCTCTTTCTTTTACAGTTGTTTGGAATTCCATTGTTTGGCTGTGCCACACTTTTTTTTTTTTTTAAACGACTTCTTGATGTACATTGAGATTGTATCTATTCTTTTGCTGCTAAAAGCAATGCCTTAGGTTTTTTGTTTTTTGGGTTTTTTTTTTTTGTTTTTTTGGTATATAGATCTTTGCACAAATATATGAATCTGTGTGCTAGGATTCCTGAATGGGGAATGGCAAGGTCAGGGCTATGGCCAGTAGCATTTTGATAGCTATGTTGCCTGTTGCTCTTTAGGGTTATACTTCCGCCAGAAGCACAGTAGAGTGCCTCTTTTGCCTGTTTCTCAGTACTCTTCCAGTATAGTGTACTATACTGTGTGATTGTTGCTTTGGTTTTCTTCTTCAGAGTCTCCTGTCATGCACATGTTGGATCTTCTTTGCCTGTCACTATGCTACTTTTCCTTGAACTCTTCATCTCTTTTTAATCTTAAAATTTTTCTTTTTTTTCTCATTATGTTTTTCTTAAGGCATAATTGTGTTTATTTGTGCTTGGATTTCTTCTAGTTTAGTCTTCATTTCCAAAATAATTTTTTTTTTATAGCTAATCTTTTCTGAGTTTTATAACTTCATTTTTGAGCATTTTAGTGATAGTTTATGGTTAATATACCATTTCCTTCATGTATTTTAGCTTGTTTTGAAATATTAAGATAGCATTTTTGTCTCTTGGGGATATGTCTTTCTAGCATGCTTTCACTGTTTGTAGTGATGTTATTTTGCTCCTTATTCTCTTTTAAAGTATATTACCTTTGCATGGATTTGATCTCAATATTTTCTGTTGTTCATTTTTATGTGGAATTAATTTTTCTGACTATTTGGAAGGGAGGCTTGATTTTTAAATAGTTTTTCTAATTTCAGTGTTCTAGAGCTCTATTTTGTGTTTTTTTAGGAAGTTTAAAAAATGTAGTAGCTCATTTTCTGAACTCTCCTGTTTTTCCCTCCCGTCTTTAATCAGAGTTTCATTTTCCCCCATCACTTTTTGCCCTGTTCTGTGCATTTTGTATTCTGTTCCATCATTTCAGTGAGTTTGGCCTAAAGATTGCTTTGGATGATTAGTTTTGTGAGTTCCTGGGGCCCAGAAAGTTCTAGGCCTTCCTGACTTTTCTGCAGATCTTCTGCATTTATCTGCTGTGGGATTGTGCTCACTTCGTGCTTTCAGCTGCTGCTCTCAAGTTGACGCATTGCTAGTTCTCTGCTCCCTGCTTCATATGTGCTTCTACCACAATGGTCTTGTAAGCTGTCAGTGGTGTGTCCCTATTTGCTTGTATTTTGGGGTTCGTTAGGAACACCTTATCACAGTTCTGTTACAGATGTTGACCTGGATTTTGGTTTTGTTATCCTACTTGCTCCATGTGTTTTTATGGGTGTCTTTGGGAAAGAGAATAAAAATGTTATTGCCATCTTTCCATGGTTGGACTGTTAAAGGGTTTAAGCCTAGTTCCTCTGAGGTCCTTTGTTTCCCCTCTCGATTGTTATCAGTCTCTTCTTTGTTAAGGACAGTTGATGTTTTCTCACCTCATTCAGTCTTGTGTGAAGTGTATAAACTGGGAAAGAAAACATCTTTGCCATTTAATGATCATACATTTGATCATATGTTTATATGAAAATGTTACATTTACTCCATAAATGTATGATTTAAGAGAGGAGCTCAGTTCCTCCTTCTATAATTGTCCCTAAGAAATTCCGGAGCTGCTACTTTTTAAGCTGTAGAATTTAAATCTGGATAAAGGAGAAGAGGAACCACATTGTTAACAGGATTTAAGAACGCCTGTGAAACCTGCAAGTTTAATGCCTGTTGAAACTTACCATTAGTAGAAGCTGTCAGGAGTCTCCTACTTGAAACTAGATGATCTGAAATTTTTAGTTCATCTTCCCCCTGTCCCACTGGAGTTGGGACTAAGGACAGTAGGCACTTACTGATGAAAGGAGCTATGCTGTAGCATTGAGTGCGTGCTTTCTGCCCTCAGGGAGAATGTAGTCTAGTTGGGGAAAGATAAGTATTTTATACATTTATTTTATAAATATTTATAAATAAATAATATAAAATATGATATAATATTATGGCGACATTGATTCTTGAATTCTCCAGGACATCCTGTTTGCAGGTACTATATTTAGATCCCTGCATTGATAGATCCTATTTGGAATGATATTTTTGTTTTGGAAAATAAGATTTCTCTAGGCTTAATCAAAGTGTTTCAGGAGCAGGAATAAAGTAATTGACTCTGCTGTAGACACAGTGCTATGCTCAGGAAATGACAGCTCACACCAGAGGTGGCCCAGCTCTGGAAGATGTAGTATTTGGGTGGGATGGGGGTGCTCCTGGGCACAGCAGTGGGGCGGTACCGTGGCTCAGGTCTGTGCTGGAAGCCAAGGGGAAGTGAAACAGAGCAGCTTGGAGGGCGGGTCTGAATAGTAGAAATGGAGTGTGGATAGCCTTGGCAGAAGGGTTTGTTTGGGTAAAATCTGAGAGATGAGAGGTGTGTTACTGGCAGAGACAACAGTATGATGATTTTCTGGGGTGTAGTGTTTGTAACAGGAGCTGAGACCCTGCACGGAACAAGTGAAGCATAGGATGTGCTCTGTGGGAGGTAGGGGACTGCTGGAGACTTTGGATTGGAGATGACGTATTCAGGCTGCTTTAGGAAGGTGACTTTAGAGGTGGTGTAAGAATAGCTTGATAAAGTGAGAGGCTGTCAGGGGCTAGTCTAGTGGTTAAGGACAGAAGCATTGAGCGGTTTTGGGGCTGTGGTTCAATTCTCAAAGAACACTAACCTTTTGGTAGTTTGGGGCAAGAAGAACCCTATATTAAAAAAAACCCACAGACATCTGACATCCTCTTGAATATACATGGTTAGCAGTTTTCATTTTGCAGGTCACCATTGTTAATCTCCCCTCTTCTCTGCCAATGTGTTTGTTTTGTAGGTGACAGACTCCTAGTGCTGCGTGAGTTTGATTCTTGCTTGTTGACTGGCCCCTCTCCTCTCATTCTGGATGATGTCAGAACAGGATTTGGCGGACGTGGTGCAGATCGCAGTGGAAGACTTGAGTCCCCATCACCCAGGTACAGAGCTGTGGGAGAGTAGGTGGACTTTATTCTTTCTATTCTTTAAAAATCCAAAAATTCTTCCAGAAGTTTTCTTTTATTGTTTAAAGAAAGCAAGGGAAAAAAGTGATGCCCTTTATGAAAAATGGCAAATCATGGAGACTGTGAACAGTGTCAGCCCTTACACCCATTCCCAGATGGGTAGCTCTCCAGCACCTAGCCGCTCCCCGCTCTCTGAGATGCACAGGCACTTACAGTCTCTGCTTCCCTCTACTTACCCTCAGCTGAGGGGATCCTGCAACAACTTTCTTCTTTAAAATTCCCCCTTTTAAAGTTCACTGTTGTGATGTGTTACCAAGTTGGTATGTACAGATCGACTGCATTTTTTTTTGACCACTGCATGGTATTCCATTTCAAGGTGCCCCTCATTTATTGGACTCTTACCTTGTGGACGGCATTTACATTGCTTGCACTTTTTTTCTCTCATACACACCCCTGCGATAAAGATCCTTGCACATATATCTTGGCAAATATTTTGTGGGGTAGGATTCCAGAAGTAGAATGGCTTCATATATTTAAAATTTTGATAAGATACTGACAGATTTCCCAGAAACATTTTATTAAGTTATTCTTCCATCAGCTGTTGTGACAACTTCCTACACTTTACTAAGGCTGGTAATTTTTCTTAATGACATTAAAGGCACACCTTAACTAACACCTTGAAACCTTAGCTAAATATTTGTTTTAAGAAGACTATTCATAAAGTATACCCTAAATTACAGGAACTTTATCTATAAAAAAAGACTTTGTCTACACTTTTATTCTATGAAGATTTCTTAGTAAGTTTCCTCCTTTTTTTTTGCCATAAAGTTGTATGTGTTTGACGGTCCTATTTTCAATTGCATCAAATAAATAAATAAATAAATAAAAATAAAAAACCTGGGAATAAATTTAACCAAAGAGGAAGAAGATCTGTATTTAGAAAATTATAAGACACTGAAGAAAGAAATTGGAGGAAATAAAAAAAATGTTAGGCTATACTGTGCTCACAGATAGTAAGAATTAACATCGTTAAAATGTCCATACTACCCAAAGCAATCTATAGATTCAATACAATCCCTATCAAAATACCAATGGCATTATTCACAGAACTAGAACAAATAATTCTAAAATTTATAAGGAACCACAAAAGACCCCAAATAGTCACAGCAATCTTAAGAAAGAGCAAATTTGGAGGTATCACGATACCTGATATCAAACTATAGGGCAAGGCTATAGAAATCAAAAGAGCATGGTCCTAGTATAAAAATGGACACATAGATTAATGGAACAAAATAGAGGGCCCAGAAGTAAACTCATACCTATGTAGTCAGTTAATCCATGACAGAGGAGGCAGGAATATACAATGGAGTAAAGGCAGTCTCTTCAGTAAATGATGTTGGGAACACTGGACAGATACATGCAAAAAGTGAAGTTGTATCACTTTCTTATACCATACTCAAGAATAAGCTCAAAATGGATTAAAGACTTAAATGTAAGACCTGAAACCATATAACTCCTAGAAGAAAATATAGGCAGTACACTATCTGGCATTGCTCTTAGTAATATTTTTTTCTCATATCTCCTTGAGCAAGGGAAACAAAAGAAGAAAAGAATAAATGGGACTATATCAAACTAAAAAGTTTTTGCATAGCAAGGGAAACTATCAGGAAAACAAAAAGAACTTAATGGGAGAAGCTGTTTGCCAATGTACATATTTTGAATTGTATCCCAATTCAATAGGGGATAATATTCAAAATATGTGAAGAATTCATGCAACTTAACACCAAAAAAACCCCAGATAATTCTATTAAAAAATGGGCATAGGACCTGAATAGACATTTCTCCAGAGAGGACATACAAATGGCTACTAGACATAGAAAAGATACTCAGCATCACTAATCATCAGAGAAATGCAGATTAAAACTACAATGAGACATCACCTCATACCTGTCACAATGGCTATCATTAATAAATCAACAAACAAGTATTAGCGAGGATGTGGAGAAAAGGGAACTCTTGTGCACTGTTGGTGGGATTGCAAATTGATGCGGCCACTCTGGAAAACAGTATGGAAGTCCCTCAAAAAAAAAAAAAAACCAAAAAAAAACTACCTATGACCCAGCGTTTCCACTTCTGAGTATTTATCCAAAGAAATCCAGAGCACTAATTCAAAAAGATAAATGCATCCCTATGTTCACTGCAACATTGTTTACAATAGCCAGGATATGGAAGCAACCCAAGTGCCCATCAATAGATGATTGGATAAAGAAATAGTATATATATAATGGAATATTATTTGGCCATAATAAGAATGAAATCTTACCATTTGCAACAACATGGATGGTATAATGCTAAATGAAATAAGTCAGAGAAAGAAAATACCATCATTTCACTTACATGTGGAATCTAAAGAAAAACAAACGAACAGAAACGGAAGCATAGATTCAGAGAACAAACTGATGATTGCCAAATGGGAGCGGGGTTGGGGGCTGGGTGATAAAGGTGGAAGGATTAAGAAGTAGAAATTGGTAGTTACAAAATAGTCATGGAGATGTAAAGTACAGCATAGGGAATATAGTCAATAATATTATAATAACTGTGTATAGTGTCAGGTGGGTACTAGACTTACTTATCAGGGGGATCACTTTGTAAGTCATGTAAATGTCTAACCACTATGCTGTACACCTGAAACTAATAAAATATTGGATGTCAGTTATAATTGAAAAATATAAAATATTTAAACTATAAAAAAAGTTTTATGTGTTTTATATTTCTGTTGTGTTTGAAGTCATAAGTGTACACGATTAAGTCACTGAGTGTTTTGGTTGCTTGGTTTTTCTGGAATAGTAAATTGAAATGCTGAATTATTTCTCCCACAGGAAAGAGAATTTTCAGAAATCTCATAAGAAAGTATGATGTCTATCTTGTATGATCTGTTTGATATGTTAATTGAAAAAACTTCATTTGTAAATTAGTTATGATATGGAAAGGGAGAGTAATATAAATAATTTTGGAATTAAGCGAGCAGTCATAAAGAAATGTAGGAACACTATTTTCTTTAGTCAATTTCCCCTTTGTTTTGCTTCTGATTTGTTTATAAGAAGCACTATCACCTGTTAAGTGGCAAGATCAAGAGCCTTATCAGATCATTGAACAAAGTTAGATCACTTGAGAATAGCTGTTCAACCACAATTTTCTCTGTGAAAACTAAACAGTTTGTTTAGAGCTAGAACGTGTAGCCTTGACTCTCATTAACACCACACCTTAGATACCATTGAACTTAGAAAAAGAAACACTATCACTGTACATAGCAATCTGAAAAATATCTGTGTTCAGATGGTGGTAGGTGAATGATGATTTCTTTAGAAAGCACATACTGCAATGTTCTAAAAGAAAAATGTCCCAGTTACATAATATTTAAGCATTTTTAGAACTATTAAAATTCTGACAGCTAACTTCTCAAATAAATTCTCTCTCTATATATTACAATCCAAAGAAGACTTAGAGAAATCATTTCTAATCTTGGTTTTGTTCCATCTCTATTCCATAAATAACTGGGAACTATAGTTTATTGACTGTTTCATGAAAACCTACTGTGTGCAGGGCTCTCTGAGGCCTTTTTAGACAGAAAGCCTGCAATCTCTGACTCAAAGGAACTTGCACAATAAATAACGAACTTGACCCAGCAAATACCATAGTGTGTGATACACCTTTGCATCCAGAGTGGGTTTAAGATTGAGATTATTTTTTCCTCATTTCTAAGATACGACCTTTGTGAAATTTAAAAATATAGTCAAGCCAGTAGAAGGAGCAAAATTTTCCCATAATCCTAGAAATAGAAGTGCTTTTAAAATTGTTGGCATGTACTTCCAGTTTTTTCTGATTTCTATGTAAAACAGAAATGTTTAGGTTCTGGTTTTTCATGTACTCATCAAATGGCTGCTCTTTCTTTTCCTTTCTGCATGTATGTAAGATTGTAACTTTCATCAGGCCAATCATTCTAGTTGATTGTGATACCTTTAAAATAAACATTAAGTTCTTTAGTCTAATTCTAAATGTAATGCACACAAAATTGTGAAAAGCAATGCAGCAAAGGACAAAGACAAAAAGAAACTTGTAGTTCCACAACACACAAGAAGTTATTGCTGAGCCTTAGTACACGTCTTGCTCTGCTGCTTCACTGTTCTTTGCTTCCAGCCTTGAGGAGCTTCACACTGCCAAGGGGTATGGCTTCTTTTCTATAGTTATAGGAACCAGCTGTGTGGCCTCAGACAAGTCACTGGACTTGTTTTTAATTCAGCAAATTAAAAGGATTAGAATAATGATTGCCAGGGTCTCTCTCTGTCCTCCCAGTCCTGGTATAATTACTAGTTTCTTATGGGAGTAAATAGGCTGTGACCGAGGTTCTGAGAACCTGTGTTTTGCTAACCACAAATACTTGTAGGTGTGGATTTTTCCTCTTTTGATTTAATTAAATGAGCATTCATTCTCACCTGTTTCTTTGAAGATGGTTGAGGCAGTCCCTGTTGCATGGGGTCCGCAGCGTATGACAAAGCCCTTAGGTCAGCAGTAGGTCTCTTGAATTGTTGGCCCTTGGTGGATTTCTGCAGGGAAGCTTGGGATAATCACCTCCTGGGAATCAGTTTCCTGCTCTCGCCTAGGACCCGTGAAAGGCTCATGTTAGAGCCATTGGACTCTGCAGTGTCTTTATACTTGAGAGTTTTGAGATAAATCATTTACAGGTTTAAAGGCATTGCCATTCTTTTAAAAAATTGAGATCTTATTTGGAACCTCAACACATACAGCCTGTTGAAGGGGAGGTGCTTTGTTTGAGATGGGGCCAGGACTGCAGAGACCTGTGCACTTGGCTTCCCCCACCCCGCCTTAGCAGATGAGGAATAGAATGCCAGCAAGATGAGCTTCGTCCTTGTGTGTGAGAGCTTGGGGTTGGTCTGCTTTGGAGTGGGCGCTGTGCCACTGCCGGTGTCACAGCGTGAGCAGGTGTCAGTTCCAGCATCATCATGGGCCTGGATGGAAGTGAATAGACTTCCCTGAGTGGATGTGGTTGGGTGGTTGAGTGGTTGGGTGGTTGGAGGGTTGGAGGGGAAAAGCTGGGACATGGTCAGACAGCACTGTCCAAGCAAGGTAGGCATCGTCTGTCCACGGCAAGTTTATTCTGCTCGACTGTAGCATGGGGTGCATTTGAAAGGAGAATGGATGATATGCCAAAGTGTTGTGTGCACCATAGTTTATTCTCCATGGATGGGCACTCTCCTACAAGTGCCATGGTAAGCACGCTTCTGTGTGTGCATGTATATATATATATATACACACGCAAACATTATTGTAATATACATGTTCTATATGTATATTTATAAATATATGTTGTCACATATGGGTACTCATTTCTGTGGAATAGATTCACAGGCTGATATTACTGTTAAATAGTGAGTTAAAGCCATTAACCGTGAGGACCGTCCACCTTACATTGCTAAGTAAAGACGAAAGGTACAGACAGATCCATTCATATGATGGCCCTGGCCCTTCCATATGTATGTAATGTGTTTGTGTGAGCTTGTAGAAAGAGGTGAAGAGAAATAGACCAGGCAGTTAATACTGGTGATTTCAGGCAAGGACTTGACAAGGAAGAAATACTGTAGCAAAATGTTAAAAGCACTCATGGTATCATAGTCAATAAAAAAAAAAGTTGAATGTAAATTGTCTATAATTGCTAATATGTAAATGTTTAATGATTAACTAGGTCTAGAGCAAGGGATCACGGACGGAGAAACTCGGTTTGCAAAGATGATGCAATTGTGGACAGTTTCAGATTTTGTGGCTATCTTTAATGTTGGTTTTATAGTTAATTTTAGACAAAAAGAAAGTGGTTGGGACCATACTGGGACAGGCTTGAATGTAGGCTGAGTTGCTTATCTGTGGGGAAGCCATGAAGATCAAGTGAAAATTATTTGATGGGGAGGCATAGATTTCAGTGGCACTGTAGAATATCTTTCTGTGTGACTTAACATGTTAAGTTTGGGACTATTTTGATGACCAACACCTAAGAAAATTAAGTAACCAGAGAGTGGTTATGAATTTGATATGAGGGAGCCATCAGACAAGAATTTAAAGTTGGGAATAAATCATTATTATTAATTGGGTTTTATTATATTGAAATTTAAACAGGGTAGCTTAATAGAGCATTAAATGAGAAGTCTGTAGTTTTGGTGTTAGAATCAACTGAATGGCACTTTAGGGAAACCATCCAGCATCTCAGTTTTTCATTGAGATTAAGGAGAGATCCTAGTTTGTGTTTGAGAATTTTAAGTTAAAACTATAAAAAGGTAAAATAAGAAATAGATTGTACCATTTCTAATTTAATTTTAAGGTGTCAGCTGTTTACTATCTTAATATTAAAATAGTTCTAGAAAACTTTTCATATTAAAGTTTAAATCTGCTTTTGTTTCTGCTTTTGTTTTTCAGTTGTACTGGAAAATCATGTAGTGACAGATGAAGATGAACCAGCTTTGAAACGCCAGCGACTAGAGATCAACTGCCAGGACCCTTCTATAAAGGTAAAAATACCAACATATTTTATTGTTTATATCTTAGTTTCTTAGGGCTGCCATAACAAATTATCAAAAGATGGGGAGCCTAAAATAACACAAATTTATCCTCTCACAGCTTTGGAGACCAGAAGTCTGAACTCAAGGTATGAGCAGGGCAGTGCCCCTCCAAAGGCTCTGGGGGAGGATCCTTCCTGCCTCTTCCAGCTTTTGGTGGTTCCAGACGTCCCTTGGCTTGTGGCTGCATCACTCCAGTCTCTGCCTCCATCTTCGCATTGCCTCCTCTGATGTGTCTGTGTCTGTGTCTGTTTCCCATTCTCTTCTCTTATAAAGATATTGTTGAATTTAGGGGCTACCTTAATCCAGGAAGATCTCACCTCGAGATTCTTGATTTACGTCTACAAAGACTCTTTACCAAATAAGACCACGTTTACAGATTCTGGGGGTTAGGATGTAGACATATCATTTTCGAGAGTCACCGTTCAACCCCCTACAATTGTGCATAAAGCCGTTTTTCCCCCTTAAAGAGTATGAAGAATAAACATTGTTTAGATTGAAATTGCTGCCAAATAAGGCACCTTCCCATAGAACTGTAGACCTGATGTGGACAGATGGGAAGAGAATAGTTCATATAGCTAATATTTCCCACCGATGATGAAGTACTTTTGTACCTACCACTTAAATCACCTAAATTTTAAAGTTTACTAGATGTGGTCTTGGAAACCACTGAGTCAGTGATTTTAGGATTTTGGATTTACTTGTTTGATTTCATGTTTACAGAGTTCTGGAGATAAATATCAGCACATGTGAGAAGTTTAAGAAAGCAATGCAAATGAAAACTGTAGTAACTTTTCATGTCATCCCTCTATTTATCTGGGGCATCTGTTTAGAAACATACATGTCCCCCCAAACTTAACAATATTGTTAACAAGGAGAAGCAGTAAGGTTAAATGTGTCGGTAATTTAAAAATATATTCATAAATAAATAAATAAAAGCATATTCACAGTTAAATTTCTGTTTCAGACTAATGATAGAAGGTGGCTGCATTAGTAATGCCAAATTATTATATTTTAAAATAAAATGCAGTTATAATTTTACCACTGGAGATACAATCGTTGTAAACATAAACAATAAAGAAATGTATAAAGTAACAAGTAACAGTGGCCTGGCCTCAGCCCTAGTCCCATTATCAGTCAGACTTTGGGGTGCAGTTTGAACAATGCTATATGTGTGTACTGTTTGAAAAAGTTTGCTCACCAAATTGCCAAGAACTCTTTAATGAATAGATTTGAATATTTATGGTTAATATACTCGTATATAAAAGACTTATTCAAAAATACTCTTCTCTGTTCTTTGTTATTAATTTGTTTGGTAATTGTTTTATTAGCATATAACAGTGATTTTAGTCCAAACCCTGGGCAGAATCGTTTCTAATTCAGAATTAAAATAATAAGGTTTTACTGTGTTTTAAGAATTTGGGAGCCAAATGTTCGTTATCTTCAAATGATGAAGAATATTGGAGTTATCAGTGATTTTATATTAAGAATTCAGCCACCAGTGAGTGGTTCTCAAGATGACTTACATTAGGGTGAACCAGGGATATTACTTCTTTGTAGATCACGGGTGATAGAGTGTCGGCACTGCATGTGTCTCCACCTGGCCCCCCAGAGCCCTCTCACTGCTTCCACATCCTGTTCTCCTGAAAGCAGTCAGTGGAGGACATGGAGTTTAGCCCTTTGCTTTATATGTTAGCGCTCTCATGATGAGTCTCGTCGGGGGAGTGATTGCTTGAGACAGAGTGAGTTGTTGGGACTCACTCTATACGGGTTTTTTTTTTTTTTTACCGCTTTGCTGCCCTTTACTGCCACGTCCACCAGGCAATTAGACAAATGTATTTAACTTCTTCAACAGATAAGCTCAGACTGTTGAAAATGCACTGAATGAGAGTATCCATTTTCTTCTTCTCTTAGGCCTTGATGCCAGCTGCATGATGTGATGTGTGATATTGCTCTAATTTTGCTATTTTACTTTAGATTGGGAGAGCAGGCCCTAGCTAATGCTATAGGTCAGCAGCAGTGAGATGGCACGTCCTGTCAGTCAGATGGAGGCCAGCCTTTTACTGTGGGCAGACAAGCAGAGAGAAAGATGAAAGGCAAATTCTTCATTATTTTCAGCTGTTGACTCTCAAGCCAGCCTTCCTACTAAATTGAGCTATTGGATGCTTTACAAACTTGATCCTAACTAGCACCCTGAATTCTTCTACCAGCTGGCGAGACCATCTTAGGGTGTTTGCTGCATGGTCAAAGTCTTACCTGAACACATGCTTCCATCAATATTCTCTTGACTCATGGCAGGAATGGCAGTTGTGGGAAGTGAAGAGCTTTCCTGTCTGCTGTGTATATTTGATTCATTTCTTGGGTTTGGAGTCATGCATTGTCACTGCTTACTCTGATTAATTGGACTTAGTAATTGAGACTTAACGATGATAATTGAGTGTGATGCTGCTCTTTATGTTGACCACTAGGTGGCAGGCGTGCTGTTCACAACTTCAGGGAACATCTACCAAATTTCAACATCAGGGCCATGGGGTTAATGTGAATGTGCAAGACTAATGGCTTCCAGGCTGTTTTGATGTTATGTGTAGTCTGTTGTCATAGTTGGAAAGATTTGACTACTTCTATGTGTAAATTTACCAATGCAGAACATCCTAAAGATATGTAGATTTTTATTATATGGGCTTAAGCATTACTAAAAATCACAACTACACAAAGAAGTAAACCCATGATCAAGTAGTCACATTTCAAATACAAGAGGTTGAACTTGTTTACTCAAATGTTTCTGGCTTAGAACTGAAAAGCTTAAAAGCTAAAGTGCAGGGATTATTCTGTTGGAGTAGATACAGTTGAAATTAGGAAATATCTGTTTGGTGTTCCTTGGAATTGTCTCCTTCAAGTTCAAGCTATTCCTTCTGAAGTTTTTCTTTTTTTCACTTCCAGTCATTCCTGTATTCGATTAACCAGACAATATGCTTACGATTGGATAGCATTGAAGCCAAGCTGCAAGCTCTCGAGGCTACTTGTAAATCATTAGAAGAAAAGCTGGATTTGGTCACGAACAAGCAGCACAGTCCCATCCAAGTCCCCATGGTGGCAGGCTCCCCCCTCGGTGCAACGCAGACATGCAACAAAGTGCGATGGTAAGAACAGACCAGCGGGTCGCGGTCACCTCCTCACCCAGGCTCCCCAGCTTGGTTACCTGAGTTTTTATACACATGAGGGCATCTGCCTCAGCAGCTTCACGACACCTATTTCAGTTAGACCCAAAATAAACACATGACACCCAGCTGAAATGGCTGAGAGTCATCTTCACATTTTCTTTCTGACGCAAACCAGACTGGTGCATCTTTTCTTTGGAATTAACCCATGAAATCTTTGAAGGTGTGCATTTGTTTCTTTTCTTTTTTTTTCTTTTCTATTCTATCTGGTGAGTCCTTAGATACTTTTTCTCCATAGGTAGTATTAATAAATTTTACTTGAGTATATCAAATGTTTCATTCACATCTATAGTTTTTATTGTGCCTATTTAAAAAAAATGTTTAGAGCCTAATCTTAGTGGGATGTGTAGTAGTGCATGTACCATTTGAATTGAAACTTTATGAAGAATTTAGTTAGATTGGAAAGATGTCTCAAAACCTTTGACCTGGTAGTGTATCTGTTAGTTCACAGCACCCAGTATCTACTTGAGCTCCTGAGACGAACTAAAGCTTAGGTACTTGGCAGCAGTTTCCATTGGTCCTATTGACATTTTTATCCTTTCCCACAACCTGCTATGAAGTCATATTTGTGAGATTGGCAAAATGTGGCTTTGTACTTGATGAGAACTTGAAGCGTTTTTACTGAGGGCTCTCCTGTTGCGGTTCTCTGGGCCGACTGCACCTCCTGCCCTGTGTGTCTGTGAGGAGCGAGAGCTGTGGGTATCATGGTGGATGCAGAGGTCGGGGGCATAGCAAGCTGGAAGGACAGCAGCTAGCTTTGCTGCCAGGGTTGACTGGGTTCTGCCATGCCTGTGTGTTCTGGGTATAGGAACAGCATTGGGAGCTTTGCGGACTTTGCAGGGGAATGGGGATTGAGGAGAGGCTCCTTGTTGGTTTTGGGGTGCTCTCAAACATGCCTCAATTTCAAGGTGGCCACCTGTCCTGGTTTGTCTAGGATAGCTGTGGATGATGCCTGTTGGGTGGACATAATTAATAGTACCTCCTTTAACTCTCCAAAGTGTCCTGGTGTGTTTGAAACACTACGTGGCCCCTACATCTGATCTCCAGCTGGGAGTCAGGAGCTGTACTGGTCTCTGTCCCCAGAGGGAAGGTGGGGCATTCCCTGGTGTTGCTGTGCGATGGGGCCTTTCACCTTGGTGTCATTTGTGTCCTAACAGACCACTCATGTGTTTTTACTCTAGCAAACATTTGTTGAGCACGTCCTCTGTGCAGGCAGTGAGTCTCTAACCTATCAGACCTAGTGCCTTTTTTTAAGAATGATTTTTTTGTAACACCCTCTCATCCTAAAATGCAATGTTTAGAAAATATAATTTATAATTAAAATATGAATATAATGCCTTAAGTGTAATGGAAGGAGAAATAGAAGGATAATAGTGTATAATAAGATAACATGTATTTTAATATGCAGATAGTTGGATTAGGTACATAAGGAGGCAGTGAATAGGCCAGGTGCCCAAACCTCCCAGGTTGAGTCTTGGTGACTCACACTAGTTGATGATGGACTATTACATAATGACAAGCAATTCTTGATGAAGTTTTAAATAAAGCAAAGTATAATTTTTTCCTCTAGACGTGAGCATAGTTGAATTCCTGGAAAATTCAAGTTTTAAAACTATCCAAAAATATTTTGTATATAAATGTAGAATGGAGTGAGATTCCAGGCTCAGAGAGTTAGCAGCATATTTTTCACTCATCTGAACATCTGGGACATTTGAACTTTATGCAGGAAGATTTATTGTTAGTTGAGGCTGTCTCATGCATTGAAGGATGTCTTAACCTCCTTGACCTGTATCCACTAAATCTCAGTGGTATCCCATAATTCTGATAACCAGATCTGTCCCATTGGATTTCAAAATGTCCCCCGGGCACCTCTATTGAGAACTAGTGCTTTAACGGATAAAAGAATGAATGATATGCTTCCTGCCTTTAAGTAAGAAGCTTGCATATCCTAAGGATGGTCCTGCTGGTCTTGTGTCACTCCTTTACCTGTGTTTGGGAGAGGTCATTTTCATGAGATGAGTCAGGGAAACCATTGACAAAATCTATCCATTCAAATTCTACCTTCAGTGATTTGTGATGGTTCCAGGAGGTCAGGTGGAGAGGGCGCGTGCCCGGGAACTGACGAGCTATTGCAGGTGGGAGGGAGAGAGGCTGGCACCACTTCTGGTGGGGTTGTCTCTCCTCATTGGTCACCTCATTCCTTTGGGGTTTGAATTGTTTGACAGAGCTGCTCCACTTGAGTAAAGGTGTTTCCAGTCTGCAAGGAGCCACCATCTTTCTGGCCTTCTTCAACATTCAAGTGATTGCAGGGCTAATGGGAAGCACCATTAGCAACTTTCCTGGTTAGAAATTCCACTATGCTTCCTTTCTTTCTGCTGGGGAGATTTTATCATTTAGAGACCTGCCATAGTTTGCTCCATGTGTATTATTAACAGGTGGTAAAATAAAAGTTTTCTAATATTGATTCAGATATATGATCTAGTTGACCCAAATCAATTAGATATTTGGGTTTTAAAGAATTGTATTGGTGACATAAAAATCATCCTGTTATAGAATATGCTTATTGTATATTGGAACAAGATTTATTTATTAATATTGTTAATAAAAGCATTACTTATAAAAGTTAATGTAAGATTATTGGAAGGAAAAATCATTCCTCCATTTTCTCATAGGCATAGTTTTAAATAGGATGCATGTAAATGATTTTTAAAGACACTAAATCTGACATTTCTCTCCACATAAGCTCTGAAAATGAGAAATAAAAATTGCCAACAATTGAAAACTGTTAACAAGAAATTTTGGGGAGAAGTAAAGAGTAAGAATTAAAGTCTAGTAGAGCAATGAACAAATGTATATCTAAATTAGAAAGTTAATAATTTGTAAACACATAAGTAAATGAGAATTATATGTCTTAAATGTGGATAGTGGAACATTGAAAGGAAAAGTCTCCAAAAACAGTTAAAAATTGGTTAATTGATTTATTTTGGGCCTCAGGTATTTAATACAAAAGTTAGAAGTATGTAAGTCCTAGATTATTTTATAGCCAAAGCATATGCTTTTAAAATTACTTAAGATTCCTTAAGTCCACTAGCATTTGTTTTGAATGATTTGTTGGGAAGTCTGAGTGTAATCTCACAGGACAAATGCAGATGCCATAGAGGTTTTTCAGTTATAATGAGGCTTCTGGATAGTGGATGAGAAGCTGTTCACTGAAATACCACCCGCCCTTCCACTTGGAGAGGCTACACGTGGCCCAGAGCCAGCCCCACTTGCAGGGGCTGGTGCACAGATAAATCCCTCTCTGCGCCGAAATCCGCTCACCTCTTGGTTATTTCAGTTAAAACCAGCCTGGGCTATACCTTGCTGTCAGCTCTGAGAATTATTCCCTTTAATCCCTGGAGCACAGAAGACAGTAGACTGCTGCCAATCTCAATTGGCATTTTGGATCCAGATTTTCAGATTCTATACCCAAATGAGATTCTTTAAATAAATTTAAGAAGAAAGGAAAGAAATAAAACCTTTTTTCTTTGATATTGAAGCTTAATCGCCATAGTTAAAATGTGAGATTACTTGGATGGGGTCTCACCCAACAATAGTATTCTACTCAGGGGGAAAAAAATGGACTTGAATTTTTTTCCTTGCAAGTGTGCCATAAATTCAGATTTTGTTTAATTGTGATTTCAAGAGTAGCAACTGGAATCAGTCTGTGAGTAGTTTTAACTCTGAAGCTGTTTTGCATTGGTATTGGAGGTAGCAGATCACCAAAGTGTCTGTGCTGTGTTGGGGAAGTCCATAATGAGTAGGCTTGTCCTTTAAATGACGGCTGTGAGCACATCAGGAAGGGTCTGTGTTTTATTATGTGGACTGAAGGAATCAAGTGTATGGTCAGGGACATTTATGCTATAGATGCATGTAAAAACCCTTTTTCTGCACTTTTTTGAGTTTAGACATAGAGCCATTTGAAGAAAGTTCAGTAAGTAGGACACAGCTGAGCCTGGTGCTGGCCCGACGTGGGGTGCTGTCCTAGTTGATGACCTCTGGAAGGCCAGCATGATGGCACACATGCAGTGCATAGATCACAAGGTAGAATACCTGCTTGTCCAGCAGGATCTTGTAGAACCAGACTATTGGATAAGTCAGATAGCAACTTTTAAAACCCAGATGTTTCGGATTTGTTTGTTTTCATTAACTGAACATATTGACTAACTAGGAAATGCTTGTATTTCTTATTTTTGAAAGCAATAGATTTCTATTTTATTATTTCTATTTTTGTATGCCAAGTGGTTTATTTTTGTTGAGATGTGTTTGACATAATAGATTTTTATTTTTAAGAGCTTAAACATTTTTTAAAGCTTTAGTATATTTCTATAATTTTAAAACAATTGTAATATCAGGGGCTTCTTTGTAATACTCTAAAAATAAAAGTGATTTCTTTTAAAATTTTCTCTCAGAGAGATGTGTCATGTAAGACATTTGGAAGGGGAGATTTTTCTTCTTCAAACTGATTATTGATCCACAGAGAATTGAAATATTTGATCAAGAAATTATTTTAATTCCCTCTAATATCTGGTTGCTAATTTTATTTCTTTTGTTTTAAATGTTGACGGATATTTGTGGAAAGACTGTTCTGGTTTTTGTACCCTCATGGCTTCTGGGTAGAAAGAGGTCTGTTTCTGAGAATCTCTGTTCTGGCACTGGAGCACCAGTGATCTTGGGTAGAGAGTAGTCAGTATTCAGAGTGTTTCCTGTTTTGGGTCATTGACCTTCTCAGTCAAAAGTATAGCATTTCATGGGCTGTAGAAAATGTGACAAACTCAAAATAAGGTGTTTGAACTGTGAATAAATGGTTTGGTTTCAGTTTTGATGGACTTGTTTAATTCTTTCCTTATCAAATTTTTGATGGTTTCATTTAATTTTGTATA